GTACTTTTCCCAGAAAGATACTTATTATCTTAGCAATGTGCCTGCTCACATAGATAGAGTTAAATCCTCCTGGACTGCTTCGGTTACGGATGAGCTAAACAGTTCTCATGCAGGTTATTGTATGAGAAAGAATCTCAGCTTGCCTTTAAAGACATAAAATTGTCATCCTGTAGCAGCATCAACAACTTGAAAACTTCAACTACTCTCAGCTGTCAAAAAGGACATGTATGAATTGGGACTGGCAAGACACAGTTGGGACTTGGAGGTCTAATGTAAACCAACAACTTCACTTATGTGAAGTGAATGGGCATACCTTAAAGAATCACCTGAGCCTTAACTCAGAGTCCTTAAGCCCTCTTTGCAACTCCACAGTGGTAGCTGGTAAGAACTGAATACAGGTAGGTGAAGAACAAGATTCTTAACAAATACAGCATGACACTTCAGGGAGAACGACCTAAGCTATAATTTTATACCATCTTTCAGATTTCTGAGCCTCAACTTCCTCTGAACCACTCTTGGACTGCAGTGTGGTTTGTAACCACTCTGGGACTAGGGAGAACCCCCTGAGGTCCCAGCCCTCTTCCTTGCTCACTCTTGCTCTACTTTTAAAGGAGCCTGCAGTGATTGTGGCAGGGAAATCTCCTCTTGACGTCTAGTAGCATTTCAGGGCAGCAGGAGAGGAGAATCTGTCTGTAGTTCTTGTTTGAATTCAGTGGATTTATCATGTTGTAACTTTCCAGTGTAAGTATCTGATGCTGGGTGGCTTTTGGAACTGGGTTAGCTGATTTGGGTACAGCATCTCAGTGCTGAGAGGATCCACAATAATACAAATGTATTGAAATTGTATAGTTTTCACTTGCCAAGAATTCTGAATGAATTTTGTAGATGTCTTTTTTGAGGTAGGGTTTTCTGGGGTGTTCCCAGGGCCCACCACATCCTTGATGGCTTATCTGACTGCATGTTGTGCTTTGGACAGACCTTTGAGGTCATAGATTTGGGATTGTACCTGTGATGCTGATGGCACTCAGTTGTACATTTCTTTCTTTTCTCATTTCAGAGCAAAATTCTTTGCTGAAAGTTGAGACTGGGCAGGAGAAGAGACATGATGGCAGTAATATTTCCCTAGTCTACCTAGGTTTAAACAAGAGCTGCTGCTGAATAGTGTTATGACAGTAATGCATGCTCTGCCTGCATTACTGTCCAGGCACTGAAGTAAAGTAAGAGTCAGCAAGGGTTAAACCAGAACTGTACCTTTGAAAGTGGCCTGCATAGTCCCTTGAGAAGATTTGTCCCAATCTGGTTTTACTCTGGTTCAGTAATAAACATCACCTTCCCATCCGTGTACCACGGATGTACATGTTTTCGCCAGCTACCGTTGCAGGGACAAATGTACTGACTGTGAGGGGATGCCAAGCTGTTGCCTTCCTTTCTCCCCTTCTCAGCATAGACCCACGAGGTATGTACCCCACATCATATGACAGGATGAAGGCTGTTACTATAGAGCCTTCCCGCCGTGAACACTGTAGCTGCATTCAGCCGCACATCTTAGCCTCCGGTGGATATTTTTCTGCAATTGCATGCTGGAAGTGAAATCGCTTTGAAACGAAGGGGAGGG